CATTTTTTATGATTTTTTAAAAGATTTGAGTTCGTTGAAGCAGATATTTTAGCTTCTGAGACAGAAGCTGGTTCATTAATATCAAGAACAGAAGAAGCCGAAAACGATGCCATTTTTTTACTCAAACTCTCTTTTTGTTTACTACGTTTATTTATATCTTATTAGTTACTTTAGTTCTCTGTAAGAACTATTATGAAAGCGTAAAAATTAATTGCTTTCTTAAAATAAATAAGTATGATCTTTAGTTTTCATAGAAAACTAAAGAAATAATAAATACGAGGGTGTAAAGACTCAAAATGTAGGTTATAATTTATTGCTTCACATATAAGCTTTAGCTTCCACAAAGCATGATTGTGAATTACCATGAGAGCGTAAAGCTTAAAATTTATTACATTCTATATAAATTTTAGTTTTCTTAGAGAACTAACTGACATAATATGGGTCATCACGAGGACTTAAAGCCCAAAAGTAAATTAAAATTTATTGCTTTCCGTATAAACCTTAGTTATCGTAGAGGACTAAATTACAAGCCATTATGGAGATGTATAGATCAAGCTACATTATATTGCTTCCTATATAAACTTTAGTTTTCCGCAAAAACTAACGATACATACTTTCTAGGAATAGACATCAATAATATTGAGGGGCACATTATGCAGATTCGACAGATTCGATTTTATATTCGGATTTAATCTGAATCTGGAGGAAATCAGATTTAAACCCAAAGGCCGAATCTGGTTCCAAACTCTAAACACCAGGTGATTTCTTGAAAGAAAGATTGATAAGAATAATATCAGAAGAAAATGCTGAGAAAATAATAACTGAATATAACAAAAAATACATCAAATCAAGAAAAAAATTTGATATACTACCAGATGATTAGTTAACTTAACAACTTACCAATATCAATAAGTCAAATTATTCAAAAGAAGAGTATAATGATAAAAATGAATTCATCGATCATTTTGTCAGATACGAGTTCATTGAAAATCATGATAATACTTTTAAAAGTATTTTGAAAAAAAAACTATAGCTTTACAAGAGAAAGAGGTGATGAAAAAATGAGAGATCAAGAAACTGAAAAGGAAGAATTAAATTTAGAAAGAAATATGTCAGCAGCTTATAAATTACCATACATATTTTCATTAATAGATTTTGATCCAGAACTATTACTAAAAAAAGAAGATGATTTTTTTTGGTTAAAACATTATTATTCTGGACTTAAAGATGAGCATGTAAAAAACCTAAATGTATTATTTAAAACTGATTTTTTTCAAGATTAAAAATGATATTTTTGTCAATCCCGATTTCATGGAATGGTTAAAAATAGAATTGAATAAATATATCAAGGTAGAATTCATGGATAAACAAGTAACCAAGGCACCTAAACCCAATGATAAAAATAAGAAACAAATTAATAAACAAATAGAAAAAGAATAAGAAATTGTCAAAAAAACAAAAGAAATTAGAAAAAAATTTGGTGGAATCTATAATCTGAGTCGATTTGCTAAAAATAAAGCCAAGATCGTAAAAAGAACAATCAGAGATCCAAAAGATCCAAAGAAAAAAATCACTGTAGAAGAACTAATTATATTGTTGATAATGATGGTTTAGGTGTATTACCAATCCCTACCAGATTAGAAAAAACCACAAAACTAGTAAAATGTTTACTGTCATACATCTTTAAAGGTAAACACATCATTCTTATAACCCCAAATAATTCATTAAAAAAAGATGCGTATGTGCATTATGATCTGGTAAATAGATGGTTAACAAGACCAGATTACAAATATATCATACATAGAAAAGAAGAACATCCTTATTTTGCCATAAAAGGAGATCTTGCATCCTGAATCAATGGAAATAGTAATGAAAAAAATGGTTATTTAAAGCAGAAGGTAAATCAACATTATTAATATTAGAATTACATGAATTAATCAGATACATCACATATAAAAAGTAAAAATGCAAGAATACAGAAAAGAAAAAAACCTAAAAACTTAAAGATCTACCAGAAAATTATTGAGATGACTATGGATTTGATAAGATAAAAGAAAAACTCATTAATAAAGAAAACACCATGATAATCATTGATGAAGCACATGATAAGAGTGTTAAAAACACCGTGTACCAACATGTTCCTCCATTATTGATAAAAATGAATTATAAAGTATTGTTGATAAGTACAACATTTGAAGGAAAAGATTTTTCTATTTCTATGACAAAACTAAGAAAAGTAATGTCTTTAACTAAATTTGGTAACTAGGTCAAATGGGAAGATGAAAAACATCTTATTTATTTTGCAACTACAAAAGATATTTATAGAAGAACCATAACTGGTAAAATAGATTACAATAACAAGATATTAATTTCTGGGTTAAAACCTAAAAAAAGAAAAATGTTAGAAGAAAGTAGTATTCCTTTTGTAATGTTTGATAATACTAATTCTGATACAATAAATTCTATCATACAAAATATGCCATCAGGATCAATATTCTTATTCAATCTTGATCATGAGATGGGAATTTCACCTTGGGCAAGAGTTTTAATTTCAACTGGTAAGACACTTGAAAAACTACTTGGTCATAGTCAGAGTAATGTGGAAAAATGGAGAAGAGCTGATTTTGTGATAAGAAACTCATCATTGGCTAGCATGATACAAAGAATCGGAAGAGTTGGTAGAATGTTGTCTGGATAGGCTTTTTTACTTACCTTAAAACTGGAAGAAACAAAACCATCAAAAAATGTTATCTACTATTTGATTAATAGAATAATAGCACCTGCTAGTGAAAACCTATGGAATATCTAGCAAAGAATAATTATAAACTAACAAAAAATCAGATGATTACACATATCAAAATTTCTTAAGATTGGCAGTTGCTTTACCAAAAAAATGAGGATTGCCAATTGAAGTTGTCATCATTGGAACAACCAAAGATGCATATAGAAAATATCCTATTTTTAACATGAAACCTGATCCAAAAAAAGATGCTAGATTAATAAGAGAAGAAGATTTAGTGTATTTGCATAAAAATGAATTACCTCAACCTCCAACAATTAATAAAGAAAATCAAAAAAATATTCAATTGATCATACTAGAAAATCGATTAAGTTCATTGGATCTAGCGAAACAAAAAAAGGTAGAAAATAAAATCGAAAACACCCTTGTTGATAAAATTTGAGATTTTTCTTCTTCAAAAAGAAACAAGAAAGGAGAATTAATTCATGAAGAAATACCTCCTGATAAAGTTGAATTGATAAAGAATGATGTTTGGAGCATGATCAAAAAAGTTTGGCAAAAAAAATAAATGAAGAAAAAAT